AGAGAGAGAGAGAGAGAGAGAGAAATGGTTTTATTAAAGTACGGGGACAGGACCTGTGGGCAGAAAGAGCTGCCCCAACTTCCGTACTTTTTAAACAAGTGCTAACACAGTGCTCTGTGGGTCCCTCCAGGTCACCTAGGATGGTGGGTACCAACTGGGTTTCTCTCTGCCAGAGTAGCCCTGCTGTTAACCATTTGGCAGAATTATTACACACACTGGGACTCTGTTCAAGTTATGTTCACAGAAAGAGGTCTACACTGTTTAAAAATTAGTTACAGTGTCCCTTTTCAAACTGAGAGAAAACATAGGCTTACCTTCTGGTATGTTCTGTGGGGGTTTATAATTGAAATCCGTTGAAAAATCTGGCCCCTCACAGAGACGGTGACATGCTATTGGGAAGATTGGTTCTAACAGAGCAAGACGTGCCTCAAAGTAGTCCCTTATTGTTTCTTCTGCTACTCTTGAAAGTCTAACAAAAAAGAAGACTTGTTAATATTGACGTAGAAAATAACCATGAGTCACATTATCATCAAACTGTTCAATACCGGTGAGGCCTTCCCAAATCAACTTAAAAAAAAAAAACGTTAACTTCCTACTCATTGTTCCCTCTCTGCACTTTTCTTTAGCACTCGGCATCTGACACACTATGTATGTGTCTTACTGTCTGTGCTGTCACATGGAAATTCAGGCTGTAAGAGAGCAAATCTTTCTCCCTCACTGCTGTCTCCATCTTCCCAGTCTTCTGAATAGTTCCTGGTACATGGACAGCACTCAGGACTTATTTGTCTATGAAAATGAGAATTCTATTAATAAATTCAGAAACTGCCACACACACACACACACACACACACACACACACACACACACACACACGCCTTGTTATAGTACTTAGTTTAGAAAGCAGTCGAATGAACTGAGAAGTGCTAATTCAGAAAATATTTTTAAACGACTCATTTGGTTTGCCCAGGACATTCTGGTTTTAGGAGGAGAAGTCCGGTGTGCTGGATCACAGACACACAAAAATTACCAGCTGGGGAAGGCTTCCGGCAAAGGCCGCCGATGTCGGCCGACTCACCACGCACATGCCCTTTCTCTCGTCTGAAATTTACCTTACTTGCTGCTTAGGATATTGATACTGGAATTGGAGTAACTATCGTGCAGGCACGAAGATCCGAGTCACACCCTGAGCGTGGCTGGCGGTGGAGGAAGAGAGGGGAAGAGTGGCCATTCCTGCCGAAGGCTGCCTACCCCCGGACTTCCTGTTACATGAACAATAAACACCTTACTTGTGTTACCTACTGTTTGTGACTGTTTGTGAAGTTTCTGTTATGTGTTGCCAAAATAATTAAGTGAAAAAGCTACCGAATGACTTGCATGAACTTTTAATTAGAATAAAATGATTTAGAATTCACTTAAAAAGAGGTGCCTAGGTGGCTCAGCTGCATGAGCATCTAACTCTCGATTCTGGCTCGGGTCACGATACCAGTCTTGTGAAATCAAGCCCAGGGTTGGACTCCGTGCTGAGCATGGAGCCTGCTTAAGATTCTCTCTCTCTTCCCCACTTGTCCTCTCTCTAACAAAGAAAAATAATACTAATAATTCGCTTGAAAAAGAATGATCTTGAAAGGATAAACTGGGGTATATCCAGACAATGCGATACTATTCAGTAAAACAAGAAATGTGCCATCAAGCCATCAGACACGGAGGACGGAGGTGGCTATGTTTTTATAGCGTTATTTACAACAGTCAGATTTTGGAAGCGGCCCAACTCTTGGTCCATCGACTGATGAATAAAGATGTGGAATACATATACAATGTAATGTTACTCAGTCATAAAAAAGAACGATGTCTTGTTACTTGCATCCACATGGGTGGAGCAAGAGAGCAGTACGCTAAGTGAAGTCAGAGAAAAAGACAAATACCATACGATTTCACTCATGTGGAACTGAAGAAACAAAACCAAGGAAAAATGAAGACACAAACCAAAAAACACCTTCTTAACTACAGAGAACGAAGTGTGGTGGCCAGAGGGGAGGCTGGTAGGGGGAAGGCTGAAACAGGTGACCGGGAAAAAGCGTACACTCGTCACGGAGGGGCACCGGGTTTGCCGGGTCACTACACCGTCCACCTGAAGCCAGTGTGACCCTGTATGTCAACTATACTGGAGTTCAAACAAACGAGCGAACATTAAAAAAAAGGCATGGAAGGATCTTCGATGCCTACTACTATGAGAAAGAAGCCATCTGAAGAAGGCAAGCATCAGGATTACAACTGCATGACATTCTGGAAAAAGCAAAACTAGAGAGAAAGTAAAAAGACGAGTGGTTGCCAGGGGTCAGGGGGTAGGAACGGATAAGCAGGACAGAGGATGTTCAGGGCAGTGGCACTCTGAATGACACCAATGGTGGGTACATGTCATTACAATGTGTTAAAACCCCAAGCTGCACAACACCAAGGTGAACCCTCAGGTAAACCAGGGGGTTTGGACGAGAATAGTCCATGCAGGTTCGCTGGGTTCGTGGAGACACCACTCTGGCGACAGAAGTTGGCGGGGAAGTTGTGCATGTGTGGAAACAGAGGGTATTTAGGAACCTCTGGGCTTTCGGCTCAACTTCACCGTGACTTAAAACTGCTCTAAAAATTATGTCTATTAAAAAAGCAACAACTACAGCTTATGCAGTTTTGAGAAAATGTCCGTAAGCCAAATTGCAAGCATAATTAAGGTTTTAAGGAGTTACTCCTAGGCAAGACTGTGCTAAGTTTAAAAGTCTGAGGACTTCAAGGACTTGCGGAAAAACAACTCATATGGCACTTACTAAACGTATGAGCTTTTGAGAACAGAAACCTGGCAGGACTTCCACGCGACAATCTTTTCCCGTTCCACACCTCTAATGATGACGTGTCCAAGACGACTCTGTGACTGAACCATGGCACATTCACGCACACTTACGTCTCTAAATGATTCTTCAGCAAGTCGTACACCAACACGTTGTTACACTGCTTCGCAAAATGCAGGGCACTATTTTGGTGCTTTGACAAAATATTGCAGTCAGCTCCACATTCAATTACAAGTCGTACGATATCAGAATTTCCTCTTTTACAGGCCTATGACAGGAAAAAAGGAGTAGTAATCACTTAACTGCAAAATAAGAGAACTACCCAGCAGTGTTTGTCCCCTTCTCCACACGTGAGCCCAGGTGTTCTTCGAGAAGAGGACAGAAGGTCAGAGAGGGGGGGAGAACACGGTTATCAGGTCTCACCCACGGTTACAAACTGTGACATCAACGACAGGTGGCATATGCTCCTCTTAGTCCGCGAACAGTACCGAAATCTGTGCTACATTCAATGTCCTCCCTGACTCCTGGGGAAACGGGCAAGTCTGAGAAAGGTACTTCTGTCCCAAGACAGAACAAACACCAGGCCTTTCTAAGCTCTGGCGTGCTCCACTCTTCAGACCAAGTCCTGTGCCCTAGCAGCCGATACCTTAGCACCCAGACAAGTGAGATCCTCTTGGGAATCTCTAAGGGAGCTCTCTTAGCATCACAAAGTAATTTCACGATTTTCCTAGGAGCTGCTTTAAAGGAGACTAATTAAGCACAGATACAAATCTGAATCCAGCAAATCTAAGATGGAGCTGGATGCAGTTCAAAGACCATTTCTAGAGTAAAAAGACCTACATCCAGGCTCTCTCCTGTCTCTGTTACTTGCCGGCTTTGTGACTTCAAGTAAATCCCTTAATTCTGAGTCTCACTGTTTCCACTTGTCAAGAGGGGATAACGGTACTTCTGCCTCACGACACTGAGGCTGAAATTAAAATAATATATTGTACACAGATATACAATGGAATCCTACTTGGCAATGAGAAAGAATGAAATACGGCCTTTTGTAGCAACGTGGATGGAACTGGAGAGTGTTATGCTAAGTGAAGTAAGTCATACAGAGAAAGATACCATATGTTTTCACTCTTATGTGGAAGGGGAAGGGGAAAAAAAAAAGTTACAGAGAGGGAAGGAGGCAAACCATAAGAGACTCTTAAGAACTGAGAATAAACTGAGGGTTGATGCAGATGGGGGAAGGGAACGTGGCTGACGGGCACTGAGGAGGGCACCTGTTGGGATGAGCACTGGGTGTGGTACGGAAACCAATTTGACAATATGTTTCAATATTAAAATATATGTAATATATATTGTACATGGAACAGGGCCAAGCCGGTAAGCTTTCCCACAAGAACAATGCCATCTCGTGTGCTACTGAGCATGCGGGACAGCATTTCTACAGAGCAGGTGTCTAAGCCGTGTAATCGCTAGGTCAAAGGGCATGCATCTAGTGACAGATCTGACAAATGCCCTTCAAAAGCATGTAACCCTGTGGTTCTCACTGGGGTGGTTTTGCCCCCAGGGGAATTCAGGCAATTGATGGAGACATTTCTGGTTGTTACACCTGAGGGTGGGTACTATGTCACCTGGTGCAGAGGTCAGGGATGCTGTGACACATCCTACAAGCGATCTGGCCCACAATGTCAGTAGCAGGAAGGGTGAGAGGCCCCTGCTGGGACCAGTTATATGCCCAACATTAGGGGGTGAGAATGTGGTTTCTCCACACCCTCACATTCTGGTAATGATCAAGTTTATACATTATTTCTGAGATGAAAGGTTTTTTATTTTGTTTTAAACATTTCTGAAAATCTTTCCCCAGGTTTATTTCTTCTAATTCTCACATTCAATAAAACCAATTTAATATACTAAATCTAAGTAAAGCTTAAACAATAGGTGCCCCCCAAAACCCAACACAAACAAAAACCAAAGCAAACCAAAAAAATAAAAAACAAAATTAAATACATTTATAGGCAGTCTAATTTAGACAACAGTTTATTACGTATGCTTAAGCTCCTCTCTGGGAAGAAACAAGAAACCATCCCTCGACCTCTTCCCCTCTGGGCACTGCCTTCCTCCTTTTCAGACCAACTCCTAAGTGCCAGCTACATCCAGCATCCACCTTCCCAGCCCCTGCAATCCCACATCCCTCAAACCCAATACAAACTCTGCCCAGATGAGGGCGCCAACACCCTCTGCAGTGCTAACCCCCAAGGGCAATTTCTCCCTTTCTCCCAATTTCTCAGCCCATTGTTCTTTGGCATCTCTGCCCCACAGATGCTTCGGGCCAGCTCACTCAGGATACCTCTCCCTCCCGATCTTCCTCTTCCTCTGGTCTTTCCTATATGGCTGCCTTCTCTGACCGTTCTTTCCCTTCCAAATCTCAGTGGTGACCCAACTCTCAGCCTAGGGCTGTAATCATGTTGTCTACACAGATGAACCCGAATCTGAATATAGAGCCCACACCCTTCTCCTGAGCGAAAGATCACAATGTGAAACATCTGAGCATTTTCAGCTCAAATGCAACCCCACTCCCATTGTATACTGTCTGTGTTCCCTAAATTAGCAAACAGGATTACAAGCATAGCCGTCAATTACCAAGTCCCATGAATTCTACCTCTTTAAAACACTGGTCTACCCACTTCTATCTCCACTATCACTACCTGGGTACAGACTATTATTTCACTTAATTTAAAAAATGTCCCCTATATGTCTGCTAACTCCTGGTCTTTTATCCACTTCCTTCCCCCTACTGACCTAGGGGGACATTAAAAACAGTCACCTTTCTTCTGATTATGTTTCTCCAGCTTAGTGGCTCCTGAACGCTCTCAGGATTAGGTCATCCTAATTCCTGTGTCTGCGCTCACTGCCCTGTGCGCACCTCCACACGCCTGACTACTCGAGTATCTGCTGTGCAGCATGTATCCGGTGATTTCGCGGTAAGACAAAGTTTTAATTCATGCTTTGGGGTGCCACCTCTGCTCTAAACATATGGCAACAGGAACACATAAAGGAAAATTAAAATTCGAAAGTAGGGCTCCTGAACAAAATAAGCATTTCCGTGAACCAGAAGTGAAACAGCAGCACAAGGAGTGAGTTCGGCCGAGGGGACAGGTGATGCTGGCCTTGAGAGTACAAAGATTCAAGACCACACTGAGGCCCAGGCCCAGTGGTAACTTGAGCCTGTACCTGTGCTCTCACTGACTCAGGAAATGCAGCTGAAACTCAGTACGGCCAAGAAACACCTACTCGGATTAAGAGCTTGCACCAACCTGTATCTAGGAAGGGGGCAGTAAGACAGAGCCTCCCTCCGTGCAGGGAACTAACACGCGGTGTGATGTCAGGACCTGTTATGTCCTAACAGCATCTTAGGCCAGGAATTTAGAACAGGAACATTCTAGACTGGGCTAGGCCCCAGGAGAGGCAAATACAAAACTGTTGTAAACAGAGAGGGGCAATTAAAGGGGGAGATATGTAGGAAGCTTTAGCAACCTTCCATTCAAAACAATCATCAAACCACAACTGCAAACACACTCGAAGAAATCTGATTCCACTCACGTAAAACCATAATGTAAGCACACCGTGCTCTTTCCCACTCCCAGGTGTCAGTATACATCTTACTCCAGTTTCCGCTCACACAGCTCATCCCTGTCAGCTTATGTATCATTCTGTGGGATGCAGCTCAGCCACCCACACATCCACCGTGTCTCACCTCTTTTAAAAAGAAAAAAAAATTTTTTTTAAGTCTTTATTTATGTATTTATTTAAAAAAAATTTTTTTTAAACATTTATTCATCTTTGAGAGACGGAAAGAGGGAGACACAGAATCTGAAGCAGGCTCCAGGCTCTGAGCTGTCAGCGCAGAGCCCAATGCGGGGCTTGAACTCATTAACTGTGAGATCATGACCTGAGCCGAAGTTGGAGGCTCAACCGACTGAGCCACCCAGGTACCCCTAATCTTTATTTTTGAGAGAGAGAGAGAGAGAGAGAGAGAGAGAGAGAGAGAGGGAGAGAGGGACAGAACAGGAACTGGGAGGAACAGGGAGAGAGGGAGACACAGAATCTGAGGCAGGCTCCGGGCTCCGAGCTGTCAGCACAGAGCCCAACACGGGGCTCAAACTCACAAACCATGAGTTCATGACCTGACCTGAAGTCAGATGCTTAACCGACTGAGCCACTCAGGTGCTCCTTACCTCTTTTTTTTAAAGTAATCTAAACCCAACGCGGGGCTCAAACTGATGACCCCTGAGATCAAGAGTCATATGCTCTACTGACTGAGCCAGCCAGAAGCCCTGCCCTGTCCGGCCCTGAATCCACACTGCTAGGCCTGGTACCAACTTTCATGTAATTCCAGAGCTCTCTGTGCTTATTCCTATTACATTATTGTTCACACCAGCTTTTAACTGCTTCTTTGCTAAACGGTTTCTCTTACACATCTGTGTTCTGTTCCCCATCCTATTCTCGGCCCCCAGCAGACTGCCTGGCAGAGGCATCTGTGAAGAGCGAGGGAGTAGGTGACCCGTGTGAAGTATTTACCTTCATTAGAGCAGTCTCACCGTTACTCTGCTGGACATTTACAAAAGCTCCTGCTTCCAAAAGAATAGCCACTGTAGTTAGGAAGTTCTATTAAAAAAAAAAAAAAAAAAAAAAAAAAAAAAAAAAAAAAAAGCAAATTTAATTCCCAAAATTCTTTAGAAGATATTTTTTGATGATTTGAAATTTTTAGCCATCAGGAAAAATACTCAGATTCTATCCCAAGCAGGTTGGTGAACACGGTTCTTCACTGTGCCCTCCTGCTCAGGCTCCACACAGCCACACGCCCTTTGCCAGCAACTTCGATCTCAAGTGGAACCACTGGTTTCAACCTATGAATCTCTGTGTATTCATCTTTTAAAAAGATAGTATGTGGCAATATTTTCATTAAATTCTTAACCAAAAGGAACATTTAATTTCAACTGGAAAAGATTTTTCATTTTTTTAAATGTTTGTTTATCTCTGAGACAGACACCGTGAGTGGGGGAGGGGCAGAGAGAGAGGGAGACACAGAATCTGAAGCAGGCTCCAGGCTCCGAGCTGTCAGCACAGAGCCGGACGTGGGACACTTAACTGACTCAGCCACCCAGGTGCCCCTCAACCGGAAAAGATTTTTAAAAGATCTAACATTGAAACCAGTATTAGTACCTTAACCAGAGGTCCTTTTACTTTTTCTTTTTTTAAAGTAAACTCTGTGCCCAACATGGGGCTTGAACTCATGACCCCGAGATCAAGACTCGCATGCTCTACCAACTGAGCCAGCCAGGAGCCCCCAGGGTCCTTTTTCAATATAAATCACTTCCCACTACATGAATCACATTTTGAAAATTCAATTACAAAGTACAGCTACTAATTAACAAAAATCTATTCATGACAAGTCTGAGATGAACTGAAATATGAGACTCTAAAGCTTTGTGACTATATGAGAGTTACATTTCAGGACAGGACAGAAACAGACCGTCCTAGTCCACAGGCAGGAATTCCTAGACTAAGAAACTGAGGGCTCTTGAGTTCCCAACCTTCTCGGCTGCGTGAATGAGGGCGGTGGTCCCATTCTTCTGTCTGCCATTCACCTTAGCCCCTTTCCTGATGAGGAGCCTCAGCAGGTCGTCTTGCCCTCCGGCTGCGGCGAGCATCACCAGGGTCATCCCGCTTGAATCCTTCATTGGTTTTGTTGAGGAAAAGACATGTCAATGTCTATCAGAAAAATTCCAGAACTAAGTCTCTTCACCCAGGATGTTTCAACGTGAAATCGCTGAAGTATACTGATTTAAGCATCTACCTAAGTCTTTCACTAAAATATCCTTATTTTTATTTAAGTTTATTTATTTTTAATAATTAATTTCTACACCCAATGTGGGGCTTGAACTCACAACACTGAGATCAAGAGTTGCACCGCACCGTCTTCTGACTGAGCCAGGCAGGTGCCCCTCACTAAAATATCCTTATTATAATCAGAAACTAATAACCTTCACAATTTCTTTACATGTCATAAAAATTTTACAACTTCCAGGTATTGATGTTCTAAAGGCCCGTCAACATTCTGCACGACATACTGATGAATAGTGCATCTTGATGCTATAAAAATGGCAAAGGTACTTATTTATTTATCACACATTTCAGGTCCGAAAGCCTCCTTGTGTTCTAGGTAAAACAGGTGAAACTCACATTCGTGATAGTTGCTTAGCTGGCCAAAGATCTGAGGCTAGAAATGACCACTAGAAGTGACCTAAGTGCAAGGGTAACCGAATGCTGTCTGGATTAGACAAATGGCCTCTACAAAAGCTAACTGTTGGGAAATGACAGTTTGATTGCTCAGGGGATGAAGAAGAAAATTCAGAAGCAGGAAACAGGACACTGATATGATTGGTTTCTAAGAGGCTATGACAATCTAGACAAATTAAAATACTTTATAAAAAATTTTAATGTTATTTATTTTTGACAGAGAGAGAGAGACAGAGAGGGGAGACAGAGCACAAGTTGGGGAGGGGAAGAGAGAGAGGGAGACACAGAATCCGAAGCAGGCTCCAGGCTCTGAGCTGTCGGCACAGAGACTGACACGGGCCTCGAACCCACAAACGCGAGATCACAACCTGAGCCGAAGTTGGATGCTTAACTGACTGAGCCACCAAGGCACCCCTAAAATACTTTAAAAAGAGATAAAATTACATAAAGTTGACAAAAAATAAAAAGCCAAAACATTTCCAATCATTTGAAACAAACACATGGGAAAATCAAGCCATTTATTTATTTTATTTTTTCAACGTTTTATTTATTTTTGGGACAGAGAGAGACAGAGCATGAACGGGCGAGGGGCAGAGAGAGAGGGAGACACAGAATCGGAAACAGGCTCCAGGCTCTGAGCCATCAGCCCAGAGCCCGACGCGGGGCTCGAACTCACGGACCGTGAGATCGTGACCTGGTTGAAGTCGGACGCTTAACCGACTGCGCCACCCAGGCGCCCCCTCAAGCCATTTATTAAATGCCATTTGATAAAACCAAGTTCTAACAAGGTGAGTTAATTTGGCTACAATCTGAAAGTTTAGCAGAATTCACCTGCATGAGCAATCTGAACACAAATGTAAGAAAAATTAACTGAAATAAGGTAGTGCACTTCCTCTCATCTGCAAATTACCTTATTACCACAAAACATATTAGAGGGAAAAAACCTTTTTTCTAACTTAGTAAAGTTCCCTGTAGCTGCTAGGCTTTTTATTAATGAAGACCAAGCTACATAAGAAAGTAGGGAAAAAAGCACCAGATAAAACCCAACATCCATCCCTGATAAGAACTTCAACAGATAGACAAAAGGAAGTCTACTGTCCACTAGAAACCAACAACAGCACAACAGAAAAAGGATCTTCACACAGCCTCAGGGGAAAGCCACCCTCAGACGAGAGCAGAACAGGATCGCCTCCATCAGAACTCTTCTGCAAAATGTCACCAAGTTTACAAGACCAGAAAAAGAAATATTACTGTGCACGAAGGAAACAAAACAGTTACTTTTCAGCAGATGATCATATTCTCTACCCAGAGAATAATTTAAAAGTTATTAAAGTAAGAGAATTTCAAAGTGACCAGAGACCACACACACACACAGATCAATAGCCTCACCGAACACCTGTAATAACGTGTTAGAAGACAAAATATGGGAGAAAAAAGATCCTAATGATCACACTAAGATAATTTAAAAATTATCAAATATGTAGGAAAGCATCTAAACTAAATGTGCAAGAATCGTATGAAGGAAAAAACTCATAAAACCGCTTTAGGAATAAATGAAGAGCTGAATGAATGTAGAGTTATCACGTTCTTATTTGGAGGACTCAAATGTAAAAAATGTCAATTCTCAGCCAAGTTTATCTATAGAGTTCATACAATTAAAAAAATGCTTTTAATGTTTAATTATTCATTTTGAGAGAGAACGCACACACACAAGCAAGGGAGGGGCACAGAGAAGGAGAGACAGAATCCCAAGCAGGCTCGGCATCATCAGAGCAGAGCCCAATGCGGGGCTCAACCTCACAAACCACATCATGACCTGAACTGAGATCAAGAGTTGGATGCCTAACTGACTGCACCACCCAGGTGCCCCAGATTTCATGCAATTTTAATCAAAATCCCAATAATTTTTTTGAACCATAATCTCTGAAGATTAAACCTAAAAATCCACCACGAGAGCATGAAAACTAAAGAAGAAAATATAAAAATCTCTTGTAACTAAGACAAGACACCCAGAAGCCATAAAGGAAAGGACTGACAGATGTGACTATCTAAAAATAAAAATCCTCTGGGGCGCCTGGGTGGCTCAGTCGGTTAAGCGTCCGACTTCAGCTCAGGTCATGACCTCACAGTTTTTGAGTTTGAGCCCCATGTCAGGCTCTGTGCTGACAGCTCAGAGCCTGGAGCCTGCCTTGGATTCTGTGTCTCCCTCTCTCTGCCCCTCCCCTGCTCACGCTCTGTCTCTCTCTCAAATGAATAAACATTAAACAATAATAATAATAAAAAAAATAAAAATAAAAATTCTCCAAGCTTAAAAGACTCAGACACAAGGAGTCATTTTATGCCCTCAAGCAGCAGAGGTTCAACCACAGACAGAACCACAAACAAAACCAGACAGGTCACAGCTGAACCAAATGGTCACTGTAGGGGTTGGAATTACAAGGTCTATAATTTTCTACATTATACATTTCTACTGTGCTTTCAGTTTATAAAGTGAACATTACTTTTATAACATTTTATTTTAGAGAGAGAGAGAGCACGAGCCAGGGAGAGGGATATGGGGTGGGGAGGGGGAAGAGAGCATCTTTCTAATTTTTGAGAGAGAGAGACAGAGAGAGACAGAGACAGAGACAGAGAGACAGAGACAGAGTGAGCACGGATGATATAGGGAGAGAGAATCTTAAGCAAGCTCTATGCCCAGTGCAGAGCCCGACTCAGGGCTCGATCTCATGACCTGGAGCTGAACAAGAGTCAGATGCTCAACTGACTGAGTCACCCAGGCACCCCTACTTTTATAATTAAAAAAAAATTTTTTTAAATGTTTTTGAGAGAGAGAGAGAGAGCGCAAGCAAGCAGGGGAGGGGCAAAGAGAGAGACACACACAGAATCTGAAGCAGGCTCCAAGCTCTGAGGGGGCCTGAATTTATGAACCGCGAGATCACAACCTGAGCCGAAGTTGGTGCTTAACCGACTGAGCCACCCGGGCACCCCCTTACTTTTATAATTTTTAAAATATGAAAAGTAAAACTGAATTATGTGAAAAGCGCTACTTTCCATCTTTATTTCATGAGATTTTACTAAGATGTATTACCTCTTGGTCCAGGTTATAGTCTTCATTTGAATTAAGTGCAACCTTCACAGCAATGTAATCCCCATTTTTCACAGCATCCCTCAATAAATCTGCAATGAAAGAATTAAGATAAATTAGACTTCACACATCTAAACATTTATTTATTTATTTTTTTCAACGTTTATTTATTTTTGGGACAGAGAGAGACAGAGCATGAACGGGGGAGGGGCAGAGAGAGAGGGAGACACAGAATCGGAAACAGGCTCCAGGCTCTGAGCCATCAGCCCAGAGCCCGACGCGGGGCTCGAACTCACGGACCGCGAGATCGTGACCTGGCTGAAGTCAGACGCTTAACCGACTGCGCCACCCAGGCGCCCCTAGACTTCACACATCTAGATTCATGAAAAGAATCTCCAAAATTCCCACACTACTCACTACTCGGAATTGCATCTGCTGTAGTAAAACTCTCATCTTCCCCATCAAGATGCTTTTGAAAATCTTCTAATTTCATCCACTCCAACTTCAAGTCCATGCCCAAACTCAAAATCTGTTGTCTGCCATCTGGAACACAGAAGAGGCTTATTAATACACTTTTTTCCCCTGTAACAATGCCATTTTCGTAAGTTTGTAGTGTCTTTTGAAAAATTTTTTAACGTTTTATTTTGGAGACAGAGACAGAGTGTGAGCAGGGGAGGGGCAGAGAGAGGGAGACACAGAATCTGAAGGAGGCTCCAGGCTCTGCGCTGTCAGCATGGAGCCTGATGCAGGACTCGAACTCACGAGCCACGTGTGAGATCATGACCTGAGCCGAAGTCAGATTCTTAACCAACTGAGCCATCCAGGAACCCCAAATCTCGTAACATTTCTATCTTTGGCCATTCTTCTTGGATATATATTTCCTCCAATCATTTATGTAGGTAAAGCCATTCTAAATGTGTAAACCAAACATGTATGTAAATAAAAGCCACTGATCCTTCAGACTCAGCTCCAAACTCTCCTCCTGAAAGCCCTCTGTGCTCCCTCCTACCCATAAAGCAAGTGCTGGTTTCCTCCCTCATCTGTTTGACCCAGGGGCTCGTTAACATTAGAAAAGGACGTGTTGATCCACTATCTGCCATGCAACAAATAAGATTTGAACATAACTCATTAGGGAGTAATTCAAAACAACTGTGCTATTTTTTAAAGTTTTTTATTAAAAGAATTTTTAATATTTATTTTTGAGAGAGACAGTGTGGGCGGGGGAGAGGTAGAGAGAGAGGGAGACACAGAATCGGAAGCAGGCACCATGTTCCAGTCTCCGGGCTATCAGCACAGAGCCCAACGCTGGGCTCGAACTCATGAACTACGAGATCATGACCTGAGCTGAAGTCAAATGCTTAACCAACTGAGCCATTCAGGGCTCCAAAAAACAACCGTGCTATTTTAGAAAGTAAAAAGCATAAATATTTTATGGTCAGAGTTAAAGTATTTTCTTTTCTTTTTTTTTTTTTTTAAATTTGTTTTTTCAATGTTTATTTATTTTTGGGACAGAGAGAGACAGAGCATGAACGGGGGAGGGGCAGAGAGAGAGGGAGACACAGAATCGGAAACAGGCTCCAGGCTCTGAGCCATCAGCCCAGAGCCCGACGCGGGGCTCGAACTCACGGACCGCGAGATCGTGACCTGGCTGAAGTCGGACGCTTAACCGACTGCGCCACCCAGGCGCCCCCAGAGTTAAAGTATTTTCACCTAAAACCAATTCCTCAAATTTTACAAATGTTAGGCAGTTAATCTTGCCATCGAGATGAAGTTTGTAAAAGACATGCAAGTAAATGAAGGAAATTCTTCCAAAGCTCTTGATTCAAGCCAACACTTCTCTTTGCACCTCCAAGAGCATTCCACTGTAGCAACAGCACAACCTCAGGAGCTGCACATCCTGGATTTTCTACATCCCAGCTCCACATGTCAGCTGCATGGCTCTGAGTAAGTCACATCAAGTTGCCTTACCTCACTTTCTGAATAGCAGTAGTAATAGTAAAAGCAGCTACCGTTCAGTAAGAATTAGCACATTTAATCCATGCACAATAACCTGTAAGGGGATACATGTTACAGGTAAGGTGAAGAGGTTCTGGATCTGCTCAGACACACATCAGTAAGCCAAGAGCCATATTCGTACTGTGACATATCTGAGCCCACAGCTGGACCTCCTCACTCTAGCACAGCACCATGGTACCACGAAAAAGATCCGGGAAGCAGGACACATGAGGGTTTATATCAGCTGAGAGAATATGGCCTAATTTACAGGACTCTTACAAAGTAACAAGAAAAGGTTATGCTTCAGCTCAGATTTTGGTCTCTCACGTAGCAAACTGGTTCAAAATCCTATGTTCATTCCTACCAAGTACTGGATCTTGATTCAGCATCTGGTAATTTTAACTTTTTCTCTTTATTTTTAATAAACTTTATTAGTTTTAATTTAAAATTTTATTTTTAATAACGCTAAAGAATGTGTTAGGAGGTGAACATCAGTGAACACAGCTCTACCTTGAGCACAAGTTGTTGGGACCCTCCTATAATGTAACTTGCTCCAGCTGAAAAGGTACCACTTCCCCCACCACCAGCCCCTCACTCAACAGCAGTGATGTTGGATCCATAATTCCAGATGTCTCATTCTCTTTCATTCTTTTTTTTTTTTAAAAATGGTTTTTTTTTGCCATGCTTTGAAGGGAAAGGCAACCTCTCGTGGCTCAGTGATCAGTTGAGTCTCTGCACTGACTTTATTGCTTCCGGGTCATGATGCCGATCTCATCACATAAGTTCATAGGTTTGAGCCTGGCGGTGGAGAAATACTGTGCTGACAGCTTGAGCTGGGAGCCTGCTTTGGATTCTGTCTCTCCTCTCTCTGCCCCTCCCCTGCTCAGCTCTACTGACTAGTATAACACATGTCTCTCACTTGAAGCCAAAAAAGTATAACAAAAAAAAAATAGCGCGCGCTTTCAAAAACTTTGCGGCCTTTTTACCTGTACTTGCCAATACCATAATAGCGGCAACTTTGCGTATTTGGCTGGCTACCGGCGCGGTAAATTTGCGCCACCCTCACCCTTTCCTCTCATCGTAAGTTGATTTTGGATTTGGATTGGAACGGGTATGGGCGGGCGGCGGGGGGTGAGGGCGACGGGAAACTGAAACACGGCTTCTACCGCGCATACCACTACCTACCACCTACACCACCATTTCGCCTGCTGTATACCTACCTACATACAAAAAGCCATACTAAAAAAAAACTTGCTTTTTTTTTTTTTTTTTATTGCCTTTCCCTACAAAGCGCGCGGTTCTTTTGAGTTTTCTACATATATGATAACATCTGATAATGAACAGCTTTTTGGGGGAAGGGAGAGGGGAGGCCTCCTTCCCAAAGGCTTGTATCTTTTGTTTTTCACTCTCTTACTGTACTGGGTAGACCTTAGAATAATGTGGAATAAAAGCAGTGACAGATGTTTGCCAAAAGTTTAACGTTCTTGAGAAAGCTCCCTTTTAATTTTTAATTTACATCCAAGTTAGTTAGCATATAGTATAATAATTATTTCAGAAAGATACCAGTGATTCATCCCCTACATGTAATACCCAGTGCTCATCCCAACAAGTGTCTTCTTTAATGCCTTACCCATTTAGCCCATCCCCCTCATAGCCCCTCCAGCAACACTTGGTTGTTCTCTGTATTTAAGAGCCTTTTATGTTTTGTCCTCCTCCTTGTTTTTATATTATTTTTGCTTCCCTTCCCTTATGTTCATCTGGTTTGTATCTTAAAAGTCCTCATATGAGTGAAGTCATATGATATTTGTCTTATTCTGACTATTTCACTTAGCATAATACCCTCTAGTTCTAGCCACATAGTTGCAGATGGCAAGATTTCATTCTTTTTGATTGCTGAGTAATACTCCATCGTATGTATATATGTGTGTATATATACATATATATACATACACACACAGGTATACATGTATACACACACGTATAAACATGTATACACCCCCTCCCCACATATATATGTCACATCTTTATCCGTTCATCTGTCGATGGACGTTTAGGCTCTGTCCATACTTTGGCTACTGTCGATAGTGCTGCTATAAACACTGGGGTGCATGTGCCCCTATGAAACAGCACACCTGTATCCCTTGGATATACACCTAGTAGTGCAACTGCTGAGTCGTAGGGTAGTTTTAACTTTTTAAGGAAGCTTCATACTGTTTTCCATAGTGGCTGCACCAGTTTGCATTCCCACCAGCAGTGCAAAAGAGATCCTCTTTCTCCGCATCCTTGCCAACATCTTTTGTTGCCGGAGTTGTTAATGTTAGCCATTCTGAGAGGGCTGAGGTGGTATCTCATTGTGGTTTTGATTTTATTTCCCTGATGATGAGTGATGTTGAGCATTTTTTTCATGTGTCTGTTAGCCATCTGGATGTCTTCTTTGGAAAAGTGTTCATTCATGTCTTTGGTTCATTTCTTGACTGGATTGTTTTTTGGATGTTGACTTTGACACGTCCTTTATAGATTCTGGATACTAACCCTTCATCTGATATGTCATTTGCAAATATCTTCTCCATTCCATCAGTTGCCTTTTAGTTTTACTGATTGTTATCTTCACCGTGCAGAAACTTTTTATCTTGATGAGGTCCCAATCGTTCATTTTTGCTTTTGTTTCCCTTGCCTCTGGAGACGTGTTGAAAAAGAACTTGCTGTGGCTGAAAATCCTAGAGGATTTTGATGGATTCCTGTCTTAACGTTTAGGTCTTTCATCCATTTTGAGCTTATTTTTGTGTATGGTGTAAGAAAGTGGTCCAGGTTCATTTTTCTGCATGTCGCTGTCCAGTTTTCCTGACACCAATTGGTGAAGAGACTGTCTTTATTCCACTGGATATTCTTTCCTACTTTGTCAAAGATTAGTTGGCCATATGTTTGTGGGTCCATTTCTGGGTTCTCCATTCTGTTCCATCGATCTGAGTGCTTTTGTGCCAGTACCATACTGTTTTGATGATTACAGGTTTGTAATACATTATTATATTATAAATGCCAGCCCAGCCCCAGGAATGTTCATGCAACCACACTGTTGCAGAGGCCTGGAGACTGTGGCCAGGTGCCAGCCTGCCCCAGAAAAAGTTCACATGATCGCGTAGCACCAGGGTTTCAGGGATTAGGGTCTATAACAACACACATCTGGCACCAGGCTTCACCCCCCTCTTAACATCCTTGTTCCAACACCAGCAAACGTGGCTGTTCTCCAGGGTTTGCTGAGACCTTTGCCTGTTGGGGGGAGGCCACACAGCCTCTACCAAATGTCCTCTTGGCAGGGGAACCACTGTCTCTCCCTGTGTGGCCTAAGGACCCTGAGGACCTTGCTCTCTGCTTCTGAGGATGCACCCTTCCCACCAGAACTCTGCCAGGTATTGAGCTGTGGAGTTTCAGACTCTATACTCCCCTGTTCATAGAGTCTTAATGCTATCCAAACTCTCTTCCTTTCTCTTTTCTTCCTTTCTTGGGAATTCCCTTATGGGTATTTCTACTCTCTTTTTCTCTCCAGCTTCTTTCAACGTTTATTTATTTTTGGGACAGAGAGAGACAGAGCATGAACGGGGGAGGGGCAGAGAGAGAGGAAGACACAGAATCGGAAACAGGCTCCAGGCTCTGAGCCATCAGCCCAGAGCCTGACGCGGGGCTTGAACTCACGGACCGTGAGATCGTGACCTGGCTGAAGTCGGACGCTTAACCGACTGCGCCACCCAGGCGCCCCTCTCCAGCTTCTTTCAAGGGGAGTGCTTTTCCCGTACTCTCCCTACTTTCTCTGTCCTCTCTCTGCAAGCAAAAACAGATCCCTACCCGTCTGCGGCTTCTCTCTACCCCAGTTCACCTCTCTGCACTGTGTACCTGCTGAGTTCTGTGGTTCAAGTTGTGCAGATTGTTGTGTTAATCCTCAGATCAATTTTCTAGGCGTGAAAGAGGGTTTAGTGTTGATCTGGCTGCATTTCAGGGACGAGAGATGCAAAAAACTTCCATGCTGCTCCACTATCTTGACCGTTCCCCGAGAAAGCTCCCTTTTATTAATTTGTTAGGTTTTGTTTTTTAGAAATTGAGGATGTTTCTGAATCAATTTCTCCTTTACTCACTGAATTCCTAAGGACTGCTAACTATTAGGTTATGTTATATTATAATAGGTTATGTTCTTACATACAGCTAGATTCAATTGCCTAACGTTTTGTTTGGGATACTTACATCTGAGTTCATGAGTAAGCTTGACCTGTCACTTTCCTTTCTTACAAAGTTTCTTTCTCATTATGGTTCTGAAAGTATAATGGGCCCAAGGAACAAGTTAGCATTCTTTATTTTAGGAAGACTTTTTTTATAATTTTGGTAAGCTCTTGTATTGAAACTATCTGTGCCTGGTGTTAAATTTAAAAAAAAAAA